AGACTTCGCAGTCTATGTGAGTGTACCACTGCTGGCTTCCTGGAAACAGCCTTCTCCTTTCCACCCTTCAAGACATTTCATTTATCAGAACAAAGGCTAATGTTCTGAGTGTTTTTTCCTGGGCAATCCTTGACCCTATCCCTTTTCCCTTCTAAGTCAGCATTAGAGGAATGTCATAATGCAGTAGTAGCATGGCACTGTGTTTGCTGTTCAGCTCATGTGCCCTGATAGCAGTTTGAGTTAGACATACTTGACTTTCGAGGATTGTAGTCATCACTTCATCTGTCCACTTATGCTCTGACAGCTGTAAGGTACTGAAGTGGAAAATGCTAAAAGATAAAGTACATTTTTCTTTTGCATTGTTGAGAATGTAACCCAGGGCCTCATGCATGCTAGGCAGATGCCCTACCACCGAGCCACACCCCAGCCCCTCACTGGGGGATTCTAGGCAGGTGCTCTACCACTGAGCCACACCCCAGCCCCTCACTGGGGGAGTGTAGGCAGGTGGTCTCCAATGGAGACATGCCCCAGCTCCTCACTGATGGTTTCTAGGTAAAGGCTCTGCTAACTGAACTACAACAGCAGCCCTTGAGGCACATGGTCTTGTTGTGTATGCCCCTGAGGGCATAATTAAGGCTCTTTGGCATTTGTGCACAGTGCTTGTTGCCTACCCCCCCCCCCCCCCCCCGCCATATTGCTCTCTTGTAGCTTCTGGAACTCACCACCTTTCTTAGTTGTGTGTCACTGTCACAGAGTCCTGTTGTTACTCTCCATTTTGTAGTTAGCATCTACTCATTGCCTGTGAAGCCCTTTCTCATAGTTCTTTATATTTTCTCTAATGTAGAACACATCATTTTAAGCATATCTAAATGTCATGTGGAAGCCTCAGGGGTGGTCACTGTTGCTCACCCCCGACAACTGTCTGTCCACAGAACTTCCCACTCTGCTTCAGCCTACCTGCTGTTCATACGCTGCTTATGTCCCTTACTTGGGGCACCCAGAATCTGCACAGGAGTTCTCATGAGGGCATCTGGGCTTTGGGGGTATGAGCATGGTCATGGCCATCTTGATCTGGCCTCTGTGTGGCTGTGTGCAAGTTTCCTTAATGGGAGTAACCACACCTGCCCTTGGATAGTGGGTTATAGAAAGCCAGTGACAGTGTACTTCTCCAGGGAGGGCCTCTCTCAGGGGAGATGACCTGTCACTTAGGGGAGCAGGGCTGGAGTGGTGACTCTGTTATCTCTGCTGTAACACCTGATCATTGCAGGGACTGGAAACAGAGTATCAGGAAGAAGGGCAGCCTCTGGGACGGTTTACCTATGACCAGGAAGGGGACTCACTCCAGATGTTCCACACACTGGTAAGCACAAGGATCGTGCCTCCCTCATTCATGTCTTTGTGGGGCAAGGCATGTGGAGAGGGTGGTGAGGATCAGCCATGGTCCAGCTCTGTGCCCCAGTGAAAGGTCAAACATGGCAGGCAGTCTATGCTGCCCTTAGTCCCAACTACCTGCTAGGTTTAGTCAGGGTATGGCTGCATCTTATCACATATCCCACAGGGCAAGGGATTGGTCAGGGGTGGGGTAAGAAGGATCTGACTGCTAATGCAAAATAACTTATTTCCTTGACTTTAGGAAAGGCCTGACCAAGCCTTCCAGATAGTAGAGCTCCGGGTTCTGTCCAACTGGGGCCACCCTGAGTACACCTGCCTCTACCGCTTCCGAGTCCATGGAGAACCTGCCCAGTAGAGCACTCCAGCCTTGTACATGTCTGTATATACCAAGACACCATAACACTGGAACCCTTTGGAGAAGAGTGCACGTGAGCATAGGAACTTGTCACCCTTCAATAAATATGTGATGGCCTTGAGGACACGTTGGGTCCTCTGAGGCTGTGCGTGTGTGCTCAGGGCCCAAAAGCCTGATGGGCTCTGTGGATTCATTTGAATGTATGGTTCTTAGACACTCCCTTTGATTTGGGGATTTGCTTCAATGCATAAAATCAGAAAACAGAATCTGGCAGGTTCCAGGCTCCTGACATGGAGGCCAAAAGCTCTGCATTGGCTCTCCTCTAGATGTCAGGAAGGCAAAGTCCCATCTGCTAAACCCACACATTTCTTTCAGGGAAAACTGCTGCTCCATCTTCATCTGACCTCTTCCAAGTTCCCTGGTGGGGAGAGGCTGGGTATGTCCTGGGCTGTCTGCTCTTAGCTGGGGCTCTTACCATTCCCCAGAGGAGTGGATTGGATTTTTGCTGAGGGTGAGACTCAACAGGGCAGTGGGGGTACACACACTATAAATGGCGTTCTTGAGTCTTATTTGGGCCATTACTGGTGGGATTCATTCACAGTACGGACAGGAACCTCTTGATGTCACCCTCTGGTGTCCTTGATCTGGGTTAGGCTCTGCTGAAGAGGGAACACTAAGGTGCCACCCTATCTGGTGGTGCTGATGCCTGTCGCTCTTGGTCTTTCTCACAGCAGCACTTTCTGCTGCTCTTGGGTTTGCCTCTGCACCATTATTGGACCTTCTCACCTGACTGGTTATAATTTGGTTATAATTAATATTTAATATTTAGATTATTTTGTGAGCAGACTTTATAACTGATCATCTGGACACTTGAAGTGTTCAGACGTTTTACATAAAGAATTGTTAAGTTTCAGGTTAGAAGGTCTTGGCAGAACACAAACTCACTTGCTGGGGCTCGGAGTTGGGATTTAGTGCATGTTGCAGGCAGTCCTTGATACAGTGCCCCAAAGTAGCACATCCCACTCCGTAGGGTTAGCACCACTGCCTGTGTGGTCAGGTGATATGCACACATTTTGCATACTGCAGGTTACACGCAGAAGCAGAATTTCCTATATTAAACTAAATTGGGACTTGGGGGTGGAGATATTTTGAATATTTATTTTTAAAGATGCAAGATAGGACTTTGTGCAATGTATTTTTGTAAATGCTTTTCAGAACATTTGTCTTTGGTAGTACTTATACTGCCACCAAATTAAGATGCTATTGAGATGTTTAAATAAAAGAGTTATAATTTTTAAAAGTGCATGTGCTATTTCAAGTGAATAATAAAAGTGTGTATTTCTTTTCTCAGCTTGTCTTATCTCTGCCCATTTGGGTGAGGAGGGATTGTTAGGTTGTGTGCTCTGAGAGTTCCTGCTGAGTCCCGGAGGCATTCCCACTGCCCTCCAAAGCCTCCATCCTCTTCCTGCTTAGGGGAATCTGCTCAGAGACAGTCCAGTCTAGAAGAGGGTGGGCACAAGGCCCTAGGTCTCATCTTTAGAGCACCATGCTCCACAGCCTGTCAAATATATTTTGGAGCATCTATCATACCTTTTAACAGCTCTACTTTCCACCATGTGTACAGAAGTGTCACACTGATTTGATATCTTCAGTTCATAGGCATTCCTGTTGTTAGTTCTCTTTCTCACTCAAACTCAGAGACCACCTGCCTCTGCCTCTTGAGTGCTGAGATTAAAGATGCGCACCACCACTGCCAGGCTTTTTGTTTTCTTTTATAAGAGTCCTGTTATCAGGGCTTTGCTCTCCTGATTTGGGTACCTGCTGTCAACTGGGATCTAAAAATATTAGAGAATGTCATCCAGGAGTGGTGTGTACTCCCAGCACTCAGGAGGCAGACGCAGGTGGATCACTTTGAGTTCAAGTCCAGCCTGGTCTACACAGAAAGCTCCAGGGCAGCCAGCCAGAGCAACATAGTAGAGATACCCTGTTTGGGGGACAATTCCAGCAAGAATTTATAACAAATTGTACCACTCCATCCCATCCAGACAAGTCGTCCCCTGGTATCACACTCATGCTGCTTGTATCACGTGCCCCTTCGTCACCTAGCAAGTGTCTGGATCATCAGGTAGACTGACCTGGCATTGTATTACTGTGCCCACTGAGCATAATCTGCCATCACAGAAGAGTGAGCATGGACTTGTTAATGTTGCCATGCTTCCAGAATACACAGGGGTGTTTGCATAAAATGCCCGTCCAACTGGCATAGAATCATGATAGTAAGGAAGTTGAGGCAGGAGTTAAGGGCCAACTTGAGAAACTTTAGAGACCCGATTTCAAGGTAAATTGTAGCTCAGTGACTAAACAAGAGTGGAGGTCCTGAATTTGATCTCCAGCACACAAAATCATTTTTTTAAGGTTCTGTGTAATGTTCTGAGTCTTAAAGGATGCTGTCAGATGATGACACTCAACTTGTCCAACACCCATCCTCCCAGTTCATCATGCCTAGGCCTCCCCTTCCCTGCAGTGACCTGCTTCAACCACAATTAGGACTAGGTCTTCTTGGACTCTCTTGGTCTAGCCTGATCATACTGCCCAGTTCCTGATGTCACTCAGGATGATTGCTGCTAGGAGGTGCACTCCCTTGCAGGTTTTTTTGTTTGTTTGTTTTTTTTTTTTCTCGAGACAGGGTTTCTCTGTAGCTTTGGTGCCTGTAGACCAGGCTAGCCTCCACCTCAGAGAGATCCGCCTACCTCTGTCTCCCAAGTGCTGGGATTAAAGGCCTGTGCCACTACCTTCCCGGGTAGGTACGTTTAAAGCAGGTCAAATGTCCTAAAATGTGTCCACGTGCTCAGGGCAATTTCAGGGGCGCATTGCGGCGGTCCTTTGTCCCAGTTTACGTGCGCAGCCTACGCGGCTGGTAACATTATACAGTGACCACACACGCACATCATTGTGCAGTGACCGCACACATACACACCCCACACTCGACTGGAGTGTAGCCCCGTCCTAGACCTTGGTCCCGCCCGCTCTCGCGTGAATACTGGCACGTTTTTTCCGGGATGCTTTTTAGCTCGCGGACCCCACCCTGTCAGCTTCTTCCCCGCCCATGCTAGCAAGGTCCTTTGCAGACCCGCCGGGGGGGTGTGGCCTCGTGTGACACTGGAGGATCCCGCCAGACTCCGAGGCTCCGCCCCTGATCACGTGCGAACCACGGTGCGCCCGCCCTCACGAGGCTCCTCGCGGCCACCGTAGAGGGCGTGCAGTGGCCGCAGGGACGGAAGCCGGGAGGCGCCGCCGACCGCGCTTGCGACAGCGTCAGCTCTGCGCGGAGCGCCGGCCCATGGCGGCGGCGGCGGCGATGGCAGAGCAGGAGGGTGCCCGCAACGGCGCCCGCAACCGCGGTGGCGTCCAGCGCGTGGAGGGCAAGCTGCGTGCCAGCGTCGAGAAGGGCGACTACTACGAGGCGCACCAGATGTACCGGACCCTCTTCTTCAGGTGGGCGCGGGCGGTGGCTTGGCGCCGAGGCCCCGCCTTCGCTGCTGCTCATTGGCTGGTCTGTAGCGCCCCGCATCCTCATTGGCTCGCGAGGCTGCCTGTCGCGGGTCGGAGCGGGGGCGGCGGGCTTGGACTACTCGGCAGGGCCTCCCTGCCTGGCTTCCCCCTCCTCCTCTCTCGGCCTCGCTTCTCAGGGTCCCTACCTTCCTCGTTGCGCTGTCCTTTCCCCATTTTTCCTTCCCCTTCCCAGGTGTCCTTCCCCCGCTAACTTCTCTGGCCTCCCCTTCCCCGGGCCTCTCTACTCTCTCTTAGGCCTCCTCCCTCCTTATAGGCCTCTCTTCCCGCCATTCCTTCTTCCTAGCCCACCCTCTTTCTCGCCTGGCCTCCCCTTGTGTGGAGCCTCCCGTCGGTAATCAGGTCCTGTTCCCAGAGTAGTTTCTCCTGGTCCTCCTGTCTGTGGCCAGTGACTGGAGTGGCACAACCGGCTTAAGTGTGGTCATAGGCAGACATCGTGGGCCAGCCCGAGGCCATCTGCAGGGTTGATTCCAGGTTCCTGCCCCGGTGCTTCTGCCTGCTGATAATCCCCTCTTCGACCTTCATTCCTGACTGTGAGATAGCAGCATTCCTGTGCCGTGTTAGTGGTGTGGTTTTAGCCTCTGCGCCCCTCAGACCTACTTTTTGCTTCACTCGGCTTTGTTTTAGGCTAGTTTTAGGTCTACAGTAAAAGGAGTGGAAAGTGCTCATTATTGTGTCTTCATAGCGGTACAATGCCAATTGCACATTTTGCCAGCTACCCGTCCCTGTCACCTAGGCTCCCCGTGCACTGTGGGACTCCTCCCACAGTCATCCCCCTCCAGCTTGATCCTGGCACGGTGTTTTCTATGGGCTGGATGAAGCTGCCATGACAGCGTGTGACACCTTCCACAGTGGCCTCACTGCTTTGAAGCCTTGTGAGGGGCTGAAGACTCATATTAGTGCTCATGCTTGTTTACGTTTGTCCCCACGTGCCCAGAGTGAGCCTGGTAAAGGACTTGTGATCAAGGCCACATGTGGGAGTTACCAAGCCATCAAAGAGACCAGCCCCGCAGTATTTCCTTCCATAACACTGCTCCGTCCAGTACCTTGGCAGGTGAGGGGTGAGCCCTGGCATCCTTGGTTTCAAAGACTTGCCATTTGATTTAGCTGCTGGGTGGCCTGGATTAGGAGCAGGGGCTTTAGTCACCGGCTATCAGCTTAACGAAGATATAGTCCTCGCTCTAATTGCCGGTTATCTACAGGGCAGCCTTGTTGGGGAATTTTCTGTGTACTAAACCGGATGCTATAAATACAAACCAGTCTGGCTATATCTGGTTTCATCACAGTGTCCAGAGTGCCTTTTTTTTTTTTTTTTAACTCTAATTATATTGGGAAGGTACTTTAACTAAACTATCGTTTAGTTAAAAATCTAAAGCACCGTGCCCATGCATTTAATCACAGAAGAGGTGGGCGGGTCTCTGAATTCTAGGCCAGCCTGGGCTACCTGGTCTACAAAATAGTCAAGGCTATTATACAGAGAAACCCTGTCTCAAGGGGAAAAAATTAAGTTTTACACGTAGAAGTGACTACACTAACTGGTTTTAGTTTTTAATGTTTTTTGTGCTGCTGGGGATGGAACCCAGGACATCTCTCATGTTAGGCAAGGGCTCTACCTTTGAGATACACTACAGCCCTTTTTAACTTAGAATTTTGAGGCAGTGTGCCTTCAACTCTGTAGCCCAAGCAGGCCTAGACTTCTTGATCCTCCAGGCTCAGCTTCTTAAGTAGCTGGGATGACAGGCCTATGTCATCAGGCCAGCTGAATGGTTATTTTCCTCTGAGTTGAGCTGTGTCACTGGCCAGGATCAGGCAACTGGCCCAAGCAGTTCTTGAGAACAAAGGAACAGACACAGCTCTGGATTGCAGGAGTTCCTGTATGGAGCAGGCCAATCACTGCTATACTTCTGAAACATTGGGAATACATCCTAGTGTTTTGTTTTTGGTTTTTTTTTTTAATGTTTGGTTTTTTTTTTTTTTTTTTTTTTTTTTTTTTTATGTTTGTTTTTTTTTTTTTTTTTTTTTGGTTTTTGAAGACAGGCTTTCTGATTGTCCAGGAACTAACTTGCTCTGTAGACCAGGCTTGCCTAGAACTCAGAACTCAGAAAACTGCCTGCCTCTGCCTCCCAAGTGCTGGGATTAAAGGCCTGGAGAGATGATTCAGTGATGTAGAGTGGTGGCTGCCCTTCCAGTGGATCTCAGTTACAGGGGATCTGACACCCTTACACAGACATACATACATGTAGGCACGATACCAATTTACCTAACAAAGAAAAGAAAAGGTGTGGGCCACCACCATCTGGTACCATTTTTTGATTAATCAACAAAAGTGGATCTTCCAGAATAAACTGGTTCTTGTTCTGAACCCACTGTGACTGAGAACATTCTTGTTAATTTAGTGTTATGCGACCAGAAAGAGTTCCCTTGGTCAGGGTGAACTAGGGATGGTGATGGGCAAGTTCGGCCTCTTCATTGTTTGAGGCCACATGCTATCAGCTTACAAGGAACCAGCCATCAAGAGCTTGGACTGGAGGGTAGGGACACAGCATTCCACTGGGGCCCAGTACTCGTTACAGAACTTAACTGGGGGGCTGGAGAGATGGCTCAGTGGTTAAGAGCACTGACTGCTGTTCTTCCAGAGGTCCTGAGTTCAATTCCCAGCAACCTCATGGTGGCTCACAACCATCTGTAATGAGATCTGGCGCCCTCTTCTGGTGTGTAGGCATACATGGAGGCAGGATGTTGTATACATAATAAATCTTTAAAAAAACAAACAGAACTTAACTGGGCCACAGCTTCCCTGAACCACTTGAGTATGAGGAAAACTGGGGACCCAGGGGTTCTTGTGCTGCTCCACATAGGCTCAGGGTTGTTTCGTGGGGTAGGACTACCAGAGACGACATACTGCTCAAAGGCACTGGTTTATAAATCTATATGTCATTGCAAACACATGTTAATATGTCAGGACACCTAGCAGGAGTCAGCTGTCCCCTTGAGGGTCAGTCTTGGTGGCAGCCACACTTACCTGCTAAGCTAAGCCATCTCACCAGTCCTGGTTTTAGTATTTAAAGTGAGTATTTGCTTAAATTTTTTACTTTGAAAGCTTGAAGATGGTGCTGCTGAAGATGCCCATGGCCATGACCCCTGATTCCCACTCCTGCTAGTATTCCCAGGCAGCTTGTTTGTTATTCAGCGCAGTTATTTTTACTTGGTTTTTGGTTCTGTACAGTGGTTGAGAGGCTCTCCATCTTTGTGGCTTTCTAGTTCTCTCAACAAAGTATTCTGAGTCTGATCCACACTTATAGCATATTGTGTCCTTTGAATGTGTCATAACCCCATTTTAACCTCACCCCTCATAGCCTGTGTGGGAGGTGAAGAGCCAAACAGTCTACAGAAATTTGGCTTCGGAGACCTCAGTGCCCCTTGACCTAGCCATGGTCCTGTTGTGGCAGGCTACCTCGTCTCCGGATGTGTCCCCCAGGAGGAGGAATGAGCTTTGCAGGCCTGGTTGTTGGTATCTCAGAAAGTTGGAAGCTATTTGGCTTTCCTGGCGTGACAGCACCACCATTGCATCCTCCATGGCCCCAGTGTTGGTTGCTTTGTGTGGGTGAGGAGGCTTTCTACTTTCAGCCTGCCCAGTCCCCCACGATTTCCTACTTCCTGTCCTACAAAGTGGTAGTGTAATAGTATTCCTGGGGAGACATGAACATCATGGATAGGGAATGACAGACAAAAGTACAGATACCACCAGAGTCCAACTTGGTGAAGCAAAGAGCTGCATGAGGGTTGCTTACATGAATATGGGTGAGGGGTTACTTACAGGAGCGGAAATGATGCAAAGACAGCTGAATCACCAAAGCTCACCCCAGCATGGGTGACCATTGACAAAAGCTGGAAATATGGAACACACTGCACAGCCTGTAGCCAGCTCACCAGGTTGGAGAATTCCCTTTCCAGGTCAGTTGGTCTGACCCTCACAGGCAACTTTCAAGCAGCTGGGCTTGTCCAAGAGTTTCAGCACTCCTTGCAGCTTGTGGTTCTTGGGCCCAGTACAGCTGGCGGGCATTAGTCTTCCTGAAGCTATGGAGTTGTTTTTCTTCCTGAGTTTGAGGAGCTTCCTGTAGGTTGGGAAGTTTCATCTCCCTGAGATGATCCTGTTGTTTCACCTCCTTTTGGCATCCTGTGTGTTAAGGAACTAGCTTCCTTGCAGGATGGAATCTGAGAGGAAAGTGCTCCTCAACAGGCTTTTCTGGGACCTTTTTGAATTCTTAATAGCCCATAACTGTATTTGTCAAAGTCACATAAAGAAATGTTTAATAAGAAACCCTCCAGCACGTGTTATGCACACCACACCCTTGGGTCTGAGGCCACCAAGTCATGTTCATGTGTGCGGGTGAGCATGTTAGATGAGCACATTATCCCTCCTTTTGTGTTATTTGGTGTGTGTTTGTGTGCTTGCACATTTGAAGGCCAAAGGTCCACTTTGGGTTACTTCATCAGTTGCTTTCAACATTTTTCTTTGAGACAGAGTCTGTCATTGAACCTAGCACTCACTATTGCATGACTGACATGGAGCAACCCCAGCACTGGGGTTACAAGTACTCATAGTCACACCAGGGTTTTTGTTGGTTGTGGTAGTGGTGGTGTGTGTGTGTGTACATATGTATATATGTGTGTGTATATGTGTTTGTGTGTGTGTGTATTTATTTTGTGTATGGGTGTTTTGTCTGAATGAATGTTTGTACCACATGTGTGCCTGGTACCCACAGAGGCCAGAAGAGGGTATGAGGTCCCTGGAATTGGAGTTACAGGTGGCTCTGAGCTGACATTTGATGCTAGAGATCAAACCCAGGTCCTCTGGAAAAGCAGCCAGTGCTCTTAATCCAAGCCATTTCTTTAGCCCCCACGTATGGATTTTATGTAGGTGC